CAAGTATCTCTCTGAAATAATACTACCTACCTCAAAAAAAAAAATAGTCAGTAATGCCAAGGTTGAAAAACCCTGCCCCAAATAATTCTGATGCTCGTTAAAGTTTGAGATATACTCATCTAAGCCTTAAACCAGGCTTTAAAAGAAAAGGAGCATCTGGACAGATAACTCTGAGAGAATGAATAAAACTGCCATTTCTAGAAGAGGCACTGGGAGCAAGCAATCCTCACCTACTTCCATCTCATTCTCCCCATTTTAACTTAACAAAAGGCATCGCCTTTCCTTAGGATCTTAGCCCCAGTACGCCCATGTCTGAAAGATCACTACGAGATACACTGACTATAGTAATCTATAATGCCTAGTGAAGGAGATGAAAATCCTACCTGTCCAGCAATTATGGCTGAGTCAAATATCACCTCTCCACTGTCTGACCAGGAGTCGCTCACCGAATAAACAAGAGGAGGCAGTATGTTTATAAAGCCAGAAAGTCTCCGGCCCTGACTCTCCTAAAAAAGTTCCCTAGTTCCTTTAGATGCAATTTTTTTTCTTTAGGCAAGTTATCTGCTCCCTATGTCCTTCTGCAAATCATCCCATACTCCCCAAAGGTAAATAGTAGCACTATAAGCATTTAAGAGAATGCTAGGCATTTCTACCTCCAGTTCTATGGAAACTCCAAATGGATATCTATAATATCAACAGTTCCACTTTACCCAAGAAAAGTCAGTCAACACAGGACATCATCTGACAAGCATCATCCCTATTTTCTCAATGCTAGGAAAGAACCAGCCTGCTTTAGTAATAAACACCTGAGGCACTACGAGGCAGCGTCCATACCTTGTGTGTGCTCTGGACAGCGCTCACCTCTGAGTGGGTGTTTGAAAGTGGAATTAACTCGGGGACTTACCCAAGACTAAGCAACAAGTGGCAAAACAGGAATTCCCCAATTTCTACTCTGGGAATCAGCCACAGTCTGTAACTACTAGAAGTGAACTAGTTTCACAGAAGAGAATTCAATCGGGTCCCATCAGAATCTACTGAGTCTGCCTACTTTCACAAACTAATAATACAGATGAAGAGGTTTAAATAAACATGACTATCTCAGGTTCCTTTAAGTGATTTTACACATGAAGGAATGCACTTGCACCTACAGTAGGAAGCATCAACTTCAAATTGACAGGATTTCAGGAAACTCGGATTGAAAATCACACTTTTCTGACATCTCCCAGAATGAAAATTCACAAGATCCTCTTTTCAATGAGCAGGAGCCTCTTTTAAATTAATATTGTCTATCTCCTGCTCAAGCCCTGAATTTCCTCAAACAGGACAACGTCATTCATACCGTCTTCATTTCCTTTCCTGTTGAACCATACAAGTCCCAAGAATACCCCCTAAGTATAAAACAAAAATTATAAGACAAACTCCCATACTCTTCTTAAGGAAAGCCCAAAAGGTAACTGCAATCTGGCAAAGCAAATTGATTTCCTGCTACCTTAATAACTAACATTTATTGAGACCTTATAACAACACAGGTATAGCATAAGAGAAAAAGGGATGCAAAGTTATTGAGTTATGGCCCCTGCCTTGGAAAGCTATTAAGTGGAAGAAGTGCATATTCTAATACTTCCTTATAAAGAAACAAAATAAACATTTTCCCAGGATTTTTTCATATATATTCTCACTTACTCAGAGCTATTGTTAAGATAATAAACTCACCAGGCATCCTTACTTTCAGCTGCCTACTAACATCTCTCCATGTGCATACCCCACAATCAACTCGATCTCAGCAGACCAGACTGCCCCCCCTACACCTTTTACTATAGCCATCCTAACCCTTAAAAAAATCTGCTCTACCTTTTCTAATCCATATCCTGATCAGTGAAATTTGCATTTACTCAATTTCTCAAATTAGAAAACTTTACTGTCTCTCCCCAGTCACTAAGTCCTATTGCAGCTATCTCAGAAATACTTCTAAAACCCATCCCCTCCTCTTCATTCCCAGTGTCACACTTTATTCACTCTCAGTTAACTGCAACAACTCTTAATTAGTCTCCCTGCTTCATCTCTCATTACTTTAATCTGCATTTCTGTCACTCCCTAACATTAAAAGCTCCAATGGCTCCCTACTCTTTTCAGTCTCACCTCCTGGCGATTTTCCCACCACACATCCTGTTTTGGACAAATTTTCTAACACTTGAGGGTCATGTTAATTTTTTTTCCCCTCACACTTTCACCACACCTTTGTTCATGCTGTTCTCTCTAGCCGGAATAACCTTTCTTGTGCAAGCTCCTACTCATCTTCCAACACCCAGCTTAATACCTCCTCCCTGAAAGATTTCCCTGACTCTCCAAACAATGGTAACATTTCCCTCACACTGTATAAACTCCTTTAAATGGATAAGTAACACACAGCACCACAATTTTCATATGAATATGTCTCCCTGATGTTCCTGAGAAAAGATGCTCATATTTCTAACCCAGTACAGTTACACAATAAGTGTTCAATGAATGCATGCTGAATAAACGGTTCACCCTCCGATATTCTGGGTCAATTTGTTATTTGGCTATTTTCCCCAAATTTTATGGATTCTTGAGCTTAGCTCTACGTGAAAGTCCAACTTTCATAAGAACTGCATTTTGAGTTTTCAAGAGGTTTTATTATTATTACACAAATGTTGAATGAGTGAATGAATTACAGTGCCTAAACATCCAATGAAAACACCTTAAAGGCTCCCCTATTCACTAAGGAAAGATGAGAGTTCCCCTTTACAACCCTAAAAAGGATTCACCTTTCTCTAGCCCGACTGATCTGCTATCTAGAAAGCTTTCACATAGGAAATACTGTGTATACAAGTCCAAGTAAAGACACACCCAAAATAATTCTAATTAATTTGTGCTAAGTTAAGGGCAGGGACACAAATCATATTTGCCCTTGTTTACAAAGTCAGTGAAAGTACAGAACAGCAAAGAAACAGCTCTCACTAAGCTCAAAATGTTTTCTGGAGAGGAAGAACTGAGGAGAATCGGATGATCCAGAAACATTTATTCAGGCCTGGCCCAAGTTTCTACTTCCCCATCTCCAGAGGCAGACTCCTCAGCTTCTGATAGTTTTCCTTCCCCAGGGAACCAGTTTTTTCCCCGTTTCTTCCCTGCACCCTGCATGGGAATAGGTTCGTTTCGCAGGCTCACACCACGTAACCCGGAGAAAACATAGTAGCTTCACTTATTGTGTGTTAAGGGTGGGCTGAAGCCCAGCGCTCAGAGCCTGTAAAGGACAGGAAGGGACCCTTATGGGACACCTGAAGACTTCAGGCCTTCCTCTAGACCTTCTCAGTAGTCTTGCCCCCTGCCTTCTTCACCCCCGGGCCAGGCTGGGCTGAAGGCCAACCAAGGGTGGGAACAACCTGGGAGGAAAAGCTTTCAAGGTAGCTTGAGAGGTGAGGGTCAACCCCATGCCAGGGTCAAAGGTCAGCGCCTCAGCTGCCAGGAGGGCCCAGCAGGGACCCAGAGTGGGAGGGACCGGCCGCAGGAGGAGCGAGCGGCTTCTCACTCGACTCCTCTTCGCCGCCCCAGGCCCAGCCTCCCAGCCGCACGCAGCCTCCGCCCGCTTCAGCAGCTGTCCTCCCTCTCTCTCCCCCCGTCACCCCCATCGTCCCCTAGGCGAGCGCAGGCCCCGCCCCCAGAGCCGCCTTGGGGCCAAGGCCTAGTATGGCAGGACCCGCAGAGGTTGGCCGGGTTCGGAGACCGGCCCAGGCCGGCACCGCTTACCGAGCCCCGGGCTCCTCCTCCACCACCCGCGCCGCTCCCGGGCCCGCTCGCTCCCGACGCCACCGACGCGGCCGCCGCTCCGGGCTCACGGACGCGCTCCCGACCTCCCCCGACCCTTTCCCCAGCTCTCCGTGCCTCGCGAGGTCCTAAAGCCCGCCGTGTGCTAGGTTAGCCCGCGCCCGCTTCCTGAGACTGGCTCAGACCACGACTCCCAGCAAGCATCACAAGACTACGACTCCCGAAATGCACCGCGAGAAAGAAATTAGGAAAAGAAACAACTGTCGAGGGTCTACTGGATGCAAGTTGCATTAGCAGGTTTTTCTTTTTAATATGGCCGACTCTGAAATAAGTAGTTGCACTTAAATATTCTCTAGGAACACTGGCAAAGTTCGGAAATATATATATAACCTATTTATTACAACACTGTAAGTGTAAGATTGTAAACAAACTCATTCAACTTACATGTATAGTGTACCTACTATCTGCGAATCACCGTGTAAAGCTGTGTCAACTTAGCAAGTTACCTCTCTTAGTCTCAGTTTTCTCATATGCAAAATGGGAGATTAAAAAAGACATCCGGCAATGTGTGAGTACCTGTGCGCGTGTCTCCTTACAATGACTTTATAGAATAGGTACTTCACAGATAACAAGACAAAGTTTTTGAGTCATTAAATAGCTTGCCCTATGTTCTAGAGTTAGTAAGAGTTGAAGAAGAGTTTAAGCCCAGATCTATCAGAGAAAAGTTCTTAGTGACCCAAAAGCTCAGGAAGATTTTAATTTTTCTTGTCTATTTACACAGTAACATAAAATATGATTAGTAGTAAAAAGTTGTACCCAAATAGGATATAAAAAAGAGTAAGAAGGGCAAGAGGAGGGCATCTTGAGGTGAGTTCCTGAACACCAGTTAGAAGTCTCCTGCACACCTGAAAGATCCCTTCCCATACCTGAATTCCTTTTAACAAATCTTTGTTGAGCACCTACTGGATACCAAATTATGGGAGGAAAAACAAACTACAGAAGAAAAACAACAAATTATAATTATTGAGATTATATTGTAACAAACTGATAGATTAGATAGATAGATAGATAGATAGCAATTAAACATTAAATCAAAGTTTTAAATATCAGACAGTGAATTATTGAGGGCAAGCTTAGACAGGCTCAAGTTATAAATGCCCTGAAATGCCTGAGAAAGGATTCTCTGGAGGCTTCCTGGGGGAAGGTCAAGTCAAGTCTTAGAGGAGAGGTGAAAAGGAAACGATAAAGTATGAACCTGAAACAACACAATACACTGGTGAGAAGTGAATTAAATACAGATTCAGAAGAGGTTAAGGTTAGAAGTCCATAGACTGAGTAGGTAAAAACACTACCTATGGAGATACTGTGGGAATGAATCCCAGGTGGGCTACTTCCTAGCTCTATGACTTGACATTTGGAGCTCTCTGAGCCTTAGTCTTCTATCTGGAAAATGGGGATGTCTAAAAAGTTTATGTCATATTGGTTTGGTTATCCAGCACTGAACCTTCCCCCTCTTTTTCTGGGGGCCTCTTCCTTTGTGTATAGTCTCGGTGGAAAACTGGGACCTGGGCAATCAAGTAAAGTGAGCTCATGTGACCTGGGTTTGGCCACTAGGTACAGCTTCCAAGGGCTCCTTGATCAATAGATGCAAAGATGAAAAGATGGTCAGAATTCATTCATAACAGGTTCTGTCCACCAGTGCAGTGACCTCGTCATGTAGCACCAGGAACTGTTTTATCCTGGATATTTGGTTCCTGATGAAAATCAGTTGTGCATCCTATTTCTTTGCCTTCAGAGAGTGTTTTGGTTCCTGTGCATTTTCCAAGCCTGTTCTTCATCTCCTGAAGATTCTGTGATGCCCTAATGTTCTAGTAAATTTCATTTTTCCTTAAGATATCCTACTTCTGTAACTATTCTGTAACTCTTAATCAAAAGGTTCCTAAGTGATATCACACATGCAAACATGTGCCTACTCAAGCTTACTCATTTTTTCACCAAACATCTATTGAAGTCTTTCTTTGTGCCAGACTCTACTCTGAAAGTGAGGATATGACATAATGTACATGATAAATATAACTAACACTACTGTAAGTTACACAAGAAAGTTGTTAAGACAATAAATCCTAAGAATTCTCATCACAAGGGAAACATTTTTTCCTTTTTCTTTAATTTTATATCTATATGAGACCATGGATGTCCACTAAAATTTAGTGTGGTTATCATTTCATGATGTATGTAAGTCAAATTGTGTGCTGTATACGTTAAGCTTATACAATCATGTGTGTCAATTATATCTCAATGAAACTGGAAGAAAAAAATTAAAAATACAATGGTACATACATGTGTTCATGCTTTTGTGCACTCATGCATGTATGTATCCACCAGAAATATAGCTAAACATAAAGCCTCAAAAAGTATGTAGTTTTATATGATATTGTAAATCAACTTTACTTCGATTTTAAAAATGTAGTTTTTTTTTAAAGTGAGGATACAACAATTAAAAAAAATCCTATGGCAACTAGGAACAGCTGGAGGAGGAGCAAATTTGAGGAAGAAGATGATGTTTAGGACATGTTGAAAGCAAAATGCCCATGAGACATCCAGGCAGGAATATTTAGTAGACATTTGGATATCCTTTACTGGAACTCAGCAGAGATATTGGGCTGTAGATAAACATTTTGGAGCCATTGGCTTAGTGGTAATGGTCCTAAGAAATGGCCTAAGAAGAGGGTTAACAAAAATAATAATAAGTGAGAAAAAAGAGAAAAGGGCCCCAAATGGAATTTAAAACCAGCATTTAAAGGCTCGTGGAGAAAGAGGAACCAATGGCAAACAAAATTCTGCAGACAGTACTGTCTAAAAAAGAGGAAAAGTAGAGGAGAAAGATGCTTTGGAAACCACAGGAGGGACTTTCAATAAGGAAGCTGTCAAATGTCTCAAAGAGAAAAGGAAATTAAAATAACTTAAAGACCTCGGGAAAATCTACTTCAGATAAGTAATGGTTTGAAGAGTGAATGGAAGGAGAAAAAGTAGAGGCAACAAGTGCTAGAGGATCTTTGTAAGACTGTGAAAGAAAAGGGAGAGGGAGTGGTAGAGGTAAAGTTTGGAGATGAGAATGAAACAGTGACTTCTAAGATAGGACAGACTGGAGAGTGTTTCTATCCTGAGAGCAAGAGGACAGAATGAGGCTAATGAAATAGAAATGGATGCAGTTCTCAGGGAAGTTGTGTGGAAAGGGAGGGAGAGGTAAGGCTCAAGGAAGAGGGAAGAATACCCTGAGAAGGCAGTCAGGAATGGAAAGGACTCCTGCATGTCAATATGTAGCTGTTGCTGGAGAGATTACACACAGACTCCATGCTATTGAAGTATATATTTTGTTTTCTAGCAAAATGTTAGTCTGGGTGATGAACTGTTGATATGGTAAAGTGGTTTGGGGATTCTGGACCCAGATTGCCTATGGTTGAAATCCCACCTCTACCGCTTAATAGCTGTGTGATCTCAGTCCATTTATCTCTCTTGCTTCGTTTTTCTTATCTGTAAAAGGGGATGGGTTGGGTGGGGTGGGTCACACAATAAGTGCTAAGGAAGTACTAGCTGTTGCTGTTGTTGTTGTTGTTGTTGTTGTTGTTGTTGTTGTTGTTGTTATTATTATTATTATTATTGTTTTCCACTAGATTGTCATCTCCATGAAGTTGAGGTTTTCTCTTTTGTTCAGGTTATCTACTCAGAGCCTGGAACTTAGTAAGTACTCAATAAAAAATTCATGAATAAATGAATGAATAAATCTATGTGAGAGAGAACGAGGCTTGGACGAAAGGGAAGCCTTGGGAGTTGGACGCTATCAGTTCAGGGCTGAGCGGGCTGGAATCCTGATTCCTGAGTCAGTCTCTGGGCCCTGGGGCTACGGGCCTACATCTCAGAGAGCGTCCCAAGAGCTGGTGAGGTCCAAGTCGCTGAGACCCTAGGATGCTCGGGAGGCTCCACCCCCAGCGAGGCTCACCGATCCCACCCCGGCTCCGCCCCTGGTGGGCGGTGTTGCGCGGGGCGGACGTAAACAGGGGCAGGTCCCGAGCTAGCCGGGAAAGGCGGGGCCGACTCTTAGCTCACCTCCTCGGCGTAGGACGGAAGTCTCAGCCCACTCGACCTCCCGCGGGAACCCTGACTGAGAGCCGGGCCTCGCCCCACGGGGCGGCGGGCCTGGGTGTGCTACGGCGCGGGCGGCGTCATGAAGCGTGCCGGGACTCTGCGCCTGCTTACGGACCTGAGCAACTTCAGCGGCGCGGCCCAGCTCCGGGAGTTGCTGGCTGGGGACCCAGCTGTCCGAGTCCGCTGCAGCCCGGACGGCCGCCACCTGCTGCTGCTGCGACCCCCGGGGGCGCCGGCCCCGCAGCTGCTGGTCGCGGTGCGTGGACCCGGCCCAGAGCTGGAACGTACCTGGCCAGCTGGCCAGCCCTCACCGCTAGATGCCTTCTTCCTGCCGTGGCCCGCGCGACCGGCTCTGGTCCTGGTGTGGGAGAGTGGCCTAGCCGAGGTGTGGAGCGCGGAGATGGGGCCTGGCTGGCGGATGCTGCAGAGCACCGAGTTGTGTCCGGGTGGTGGAGCCCGCGTAGTGGCCGTGGCGGCGCCCCGAGGCCGCCTCGTGTGGTGCGAGGAGCGTCAGGCCAGCGCTGAGGGCCAGGTAGGGCCTCCCGCGGTGGCTTTCAGCCACTGTGTGTGCGTCCGGACTCTGGAGCCCAGCGGGGAGGCCGGCACCAACCTGGGCCGAACCCACATCCTGCTGCACCACTGCCCCTTTTTCGAGCTGCTGGCCTCCCGCAAGGACGTCTTCCTAGTGCCCACTGCCACCACCTGGCCTGGTGTGGGCCACATTCTGCTCATCTGGAGCCCAGGCAAGGGCAAGGTGGTGGTGGCTGCCCCGTGTCTTGGCCTCTCCCACAGTAAAAGCCTAAATCCTGGACGAGGGGACACATGGGACTTCCGGACCCTGCTCCGAGGCCTTCCTGGGCTGCTATCCCCCAGACAGCCATTGACTGTACATACCTGGGCCCCAACTCCCCATGGCCTGCTGTGGCTTGACTTTAGAGGTACTGTGAGCCTCGTGCAGCCCCACGGTGGTACCCGGACTGTTGGCACCCTGCAGGAGGCACCAGTTTGTTTGGCAGGGTCTGCAGCACTGGGCACATTTCATGGCACTCTGGCCTGTGTGCTAGGCTCCACATTAGAACTGCTGGACATGGGCAGTGGGCAGCTGCTAGAGAGGAAGGTCCTAAGTACAGACCGAGTACATTTGCTGGAACCCCCAGCCCCTGGCACGGAAGATGAGGAAGAGCTGGAGACCCGAGGTGGTCTTCATTTGCTTTCAGCCTTGGGTCTGTTTCGAGTAGGCTGGGGCACCCTGCAGGGCCTTGAGCTGCCTTCAGCTGAAGACCTGGTGTTTGAGGAGGCCTGTGAGTATTACCAGCGTCGGAGCCTGCGGGGTGCGCAGCTTACCCCAGAGGAACTGAGGCACAACAGCACGTTCCGGGCGCCTCAGGCCCTGGCTTCCATCCTCCAGGGTCATGTATCCCCATCTACACTATTGACCACACTGAGGGCCGAGCTTCGGGATTACCGGGGCTTAGAGCATCTCAAAGCCCAGCTGGTGGCTGGGGATGAGGAGGAGGCTGGCTGGACTGAGCTGGCAGAGCACGAAGTGGCTCGCCTGCTGAGGACTGAGTTGGTGGGAGACCAGCTGGCTCAGCTCAACACCATTTTCCAAACCCTTCCTACAGCAGCCTGGGGTGCCATCCTCAGGGCCCTGCAGCTCCAGCCAGATGGGAATGGCAGGCTGAGATCCCAAGCTCCCCCTGACGTGTGGAAGAAGGTACTGGCGGGTACAGCAACTGGAAAGGAACCACCAAATGGGATGCTGCCCCTCTTTGAACTTTTGTGCCAGTGCCTCTGCCGGCTGGAGCCACAATGGCTGCCACCCTTTGTGGAGCTGGCACAGCAGCAGGGTGGGCCTGGCTGGGGGGCAGGGGGTCCAGGGCTGCCCCTCTATCGCCGAGCCCTGGCAGTACTAGGTAAGGATGGGACTAGGCCGGAAGCACTAGAGCTGGACCTGCTCTTGGGTAGTGGGCGGCCCAAAGCTGTGCTCCAAGCTGTGGGACAGCTGGTGCAAAAGGAGCAGTGGGAGCGGGCTCTAGAGGCTGGCCTGGCCCTCAGCCCTTCCAGTCCCCTGCTTCGAAGTGAGATCTTCAAACTGCTGTTGGCTGAATTTGCCCAGCACCGTCGACTTGATGCCCACCTCCCCCTCCTTTGCCGCCTGTGCCCACCAGACCTAGCTCCAGCTGAGCTCCTGCTTCTACTGCGGACACACCTCCCAGATGAGTTGGAGCCCCCCACCCCATTCCCTGAGCCTGGGGCAGAGCCTTCTCTCACTGTGGGCTTGCTCAGAGCCCTGCTGGAGCAGACTGGGACTCAAGGACAGCCCTCAGGGCCAGTTCTAAGCCTGTATGAGGACATCCTAGGGGACTCAGGCACTCCACCCCCCACCCCACCTCGAGGACCTATCACAACCCTCCAGGCATCAGAGCACCCAGGCCTGGAGGCCTGGGCATTACCAGAACAGGGCCTTGGTGTAACTGACACAGGCTGAAAATTGTTTCTAGAACTCAGTAATCAGGGAAGGGTGCCTAGGAGTTGGAAGGGGCCAGGGTGGGACCTGTGGGTGCAATACTCTTCTCTCTTTTGGAGCAACCTTTATATATATATGTTAAATATTGTGGTATAAAAAATATGTTTGGTCTTTGTCCTCAGATTTCTGTTCTAGTACAAAGCTCCTAAAACCCTTGGAACTTCCCAAGTGATAGAAGTGTCTTGTTATAACAAGCCCCTTTAGATCAAACCTGTATTTATACTAATGAGGTAACTTAATGTGGGGACCCCTAGCCTCAGGGTGGAGCTGATCTCCAGAAAGGCCAAGTGATGAGAGGGTTGGAACTTTCAGCCCCATCTTCAGCCTCCTGAGAGGGGAGTGGGGCTAGAGATTGAGCTCTGTAAAAACTCCTGAACAGGGAAATTTGATGAGCTTCTGGCTTGGTGGGAGGGTGACACACCCAGAGAGGGCATGGGAGCCCCATGCACACACCCCATACCATGCCTTGCCCTCAGTATCTCTTCCATCTGGCTACTGTGTCCTTTAATAAACCTGTAAACATAAGTGAAGTATTTCCCGGGATTCTGTGAACCATTCTAGCAAATTATCAAAACAGTTTATATCATGGGAACTCATATTTATAGCTAGCCAGTCAGAAGTACAGTGACTTGTGACTGGTTTTGGAAGTGCGGGCAGTCTTGTGGGATTGAGCCCTTAACCTGTCTGTGCTAACTCCAGGTAATTAGTGTCAAAATTGAGTTGACTTGTAGGACACCCAATTGGTGTCCACAGAGAATTGACCATTGGTGTTGGAAAACACAGAGAAATGTGGTTGGTGTGTTTTTGAACAGCTGAGAGACTATTAGATTTATGGGTTATAGAAGGAGTGGTTGAATGTCAATCTGTTGGCTAAAACGGCCACTTTCAATAATGAAATTAACATTTATGAGCATTTAATATGTGCCAGGCACTCTGCTGATCTTTATTTTTTTTAACACCTTTATTGTGGTACAATTCCTGTAAAAATTGATAAATTTTGATAGATATATATACCAATGAAACCACCACCACAATCAAGATAGCTAACATTTCCATCACTCTCCAAGAGGTATAAATTTCAAACTCCCAGTTCATCCCTTCCCACCCCTTTACCCCCTGGTAACCATAAGTTTGTTCTGTATGTCTGTGAGTCTGTTTCTGTTTGGTAGATAAATTCTGTTTTGTAGATAAGGTCATTTGTATCCTTTTTTTTAGATTCCACATATAATCTGCTGGTCTTTAAATAATCCATTTAATGTTTCTAATAAATCCCATTGGGAAAGTTCTAATATTATCCCCACTTTACAGGTGAGGAAATAGAGGTTTAGAAAGATTACTTGACCAAGGTCAGTCAACTAGAAAGTAGCGTCTCTGAGATTTAAACCACCTCACTGTACAGCCCAATAGCTGCTACCTGCTTGGGCTTGAATGCACTTCTCATTCCTGGCTGATTGCTAGTTTCTCTAGCCTGTTGTGAGGAGGGGAATCTGCAGAGCTGCGCACTTCCTTTCCCCAAGACCCTTCTGTTCCCAAGTAGGAACTGTGCTGGGCCCTGGGCCTATGCCCATCTCCCCCAGGATTCCTGGAGCAGCCTCTGGTTGAGAGAAAGATTTACCACAGACAAGAGAGCTACCTGCAGAGCCCTCTGGCTTAGTAACAAGAGTCACTGGAGCAGGGTTGCTTGGAGTCTGACTCCCTAAGCCAAGAAACAAGAGTGTCTCTAGTACAGATTCCTGTTCTGGATTTAGTCAGCAGAACCACCTTCAAAGAGGCCTTGGCCCTCTGCTCATTTCTACCCGTCAGCCCTCAGCCTGGTTCTGGGCTTAGGGTAGGACCCTGGGTGCTGCTACTCAGCATCATCCTGGGCCCCAGGTGTCCCTTGTCTAAGGCTTGGGCCCAAAGTAAGGACTGCCCCAAGTCTGGGGTCTTTGGTTGGCAGGGAGTATTCTAGGACCGGAGGTAATTCAAAGTGTAATGTATTCTTCAGAGGGTGGAAGTGGCTGGAGAGAAGACTAGAACCGGAAGCAGGGTCAGTCGTGAAGGAAGAGATGTGTTTGTTGAGAATCTGGCCTTCGATCAGATATGCTTGTTACAATACTCTGGGTAAGTAAGATTAGAACTGAGACAGGGATACCGACTAGGAGTCCACTGTAGGAGTCTCAATGACAAGTAGCCAGGACCAGGCCTAGGGCTGAGTCGAGGAAGTGTTTGGACACTGCCCACACTGGCCACCAGGTCCAATCTCCTACAGGCCACATGCAGAAGAAGAGGTGGGGTTTTGATCTCTGGCCTTTTCAGGTTGGAGAAGACTTGGGTTGCTGTAGTCCTGTGTTCCAGTCACTGGGCAGCATGGAAATTTTGGTCTATGTCCAGACATTGAATCCCCTGGTGATATAAAAGAAGTATAGAGCTGGGACTGGAAATATGAGTGGGCAGGAGGGGATTGATAAAAAAGGAAGTTTAGGTTCCATCGCCATATAGGCATCTAAAGGACACTCAGGATTTGCCTGCTCTCCTTTGCCCAGACTGCATTCTAGTCTTGCCTAGATTAGCTTCACCTTCAAGCTTTCCAGAGGCTACTGCCAAGTGAACTTGAGAGATCTCCAAAGGTGAGGCATACCTGTGGAAATGCTCCTATCCACTGACCTAGGATCCTCTCCTTCACCTACCCAGGGACCTTAGGTCCTCCTACCACCTCCTGCCCAGAGATTTTGGACCTGGGACCTTGTCTACTGCTTAAAACCTTCAGCCCCAGAACCTCCCCCTTTACCTAGGCATCCAACATCAAGGAACTTAGTCCATAGATTTCCCATTTTCCCAGGTCCCAAATCCTGTCTAGGGACCCTTTCAACCCTCTGGTCCTAGAATACTCCCTGCCAATCAAAGACCCCAGACTTGGGATCTCCACTCACTTATCCTTAGGAAATATTCCATATTGTATAAATGCACCAGAATTTGATTTACACCTTCCCTGGGTGTTCAGGGGGAAAAGAGGGAGTCAAAGAGTGGGGAGAGGGCAGCTCTAGAGCCCCAACTCTATAGGGAGCCTCCTGGGACTGGAATGTCTGGCACCCTTACTGCCCTGGAAAAAAAGGGAAGAAAAATCCTGAGTGGCTCCCCAGGCCCCCGTTCAGTCTTTTCCTAGGCACAGGCTCCCCCTGGTGGTTCCTCTCATCACTGCCAGCTCCACCCATTACCCTACAACATGCACATGCTTGCCCATTTCTTGCCTAAGGACTGAGGAAGCCTCTGGAGGTGGTAAATTAAGGTTCTCTGTGGGCAAGAGAGGAGGAGGAAGAGAAGGAGGTCAGGTTAGAACTCACGGAGCAAAATCATGAGAAGGGGAAGGGACTCTGGTCTTGTACTTAAGATGGTAGGTATCACCCACAAAACAAGGGAGACTGAGATGCTAAAATTCTTCCACTCCCAGACTGGCACTGTGCCCCAGCTACCAGACTGATCTGGATAATTTGATCCAACTGGAGAAGAAGTTAAGGACACAGCAGAGTTTTCTGGGAAGACACATTTTATATGTATTTGAAATAGAGGAATAAGATGTCAGGCCTTATTCAAAATCAATAAAGTCTCACTTTATGCACAAAATGTGAAATGGAGGTGACTTTTCCCAAATATAAAACTTTTTCAGAATCACAATTTCAAGGCTCATGGGAACCATGTGATCTGTCAACTGCTTACACTATTACTGCATGGGTCCCCATTTCCGCTGGTAAACAAAAATTCAAAGGGGGAAGGAAGCTGAATCAGGCTGTGAGGTCAGGGCTGAGTGACCAGGGTCACTCACCAGTTGTGGGTAGAAGCCTTGTAGTGGTTTCTCCTCTAATTCCCAGAGGGAGAGCCTGGGCCTGGCTCCAAAGGTATCTGCATGGGAGCAAGAACAAAGGTGAGGAAAGACAGAGGCAAAGAGATGAGTAAGAGGTTGGGGTTGGACCAGGAGAAGAGAGAGGAGACAGACAGATGCACCTGGGGGAGGCAGGAAATGCTCCCACTCTGGGGAGCAGAGGAGGCTCTCAGGTGTGACTGCTGGGGGATGATGGAAGGAGCAGAAAGGGAGTCCCTTGGGGCTTCTCACCAGAATTATAGCCAGAGCATAGAGCCAGTGGAACAGCTGGTCTAGATTTGGTCTCCTAGAGGTTTCCTTTATATAGGAAATAAAGGGAAAGGGAAGGAGCTGTGGAGAGCTGAGGAAGTGAGAGTGAGGGGGGTGGCCTTTACCAAGATGAGGACAGTCCATCTCATCTGGGCCTCCCTGAGCTAAAGATTCTGGAGGAGCAGATTGTCCAGGTATTTCATAGGTTTCAGGTCCTCAGGCTTTGGCAGCCACTCAGATTCCAAGGTGACATGCAGTCTTCTCAAAGTCTGTATTATTTTTGTTTTGTACCAGGAAAAGTGGGCATTGTCCCACCCCTAACTACCCCTAACAGGCTCTAGGAGCAGCCTAGAGCCTCAGAATTAGGGAACAGGGCTTCCCCACCAGACATAGACAGAGGTCTTATGCTGGTGGTGGGAAGGCTACAGTTGGGGAAGGGAAGAAAAGTCTGATTGGAGGTATAGAGGCAGAGTGGACTCCAGCCTAGCCAGGTCAGTGTCCTGGGCCAGGGCAGGGGGGACACTGACCTGGATATCACTGAGATAGTTGTCCAGAAATTCTTCCAAGTTGAATTTGACAGATCTTCTGTATTATAAACTCTGTTGACATCCTGATATCCTCCACCTGGATATTCACGTCTGGGTAGGGTGGTGGAACTGGAGTGGTAGAGTAGGAGTAGGAGCTAGAGCTGGGGCAGTACCCACCCTATACCTGCTACAATGTCTGTGCCTCTTACCCTCTATTTCTGGGATACCACAGGGAGACTGTGGGTCCTCTAAAAGTATCCCAAGTTTCTCTAACCCCAAATCCATACCACTAATGCTAGGAAAGGGGGAATTAGGAGTTGACCCTACTAGGACCTCTTCAGAATGAGATCCTTTAGCCTTTGTAGTTCTCCTAAAAAATTTTTTCCTAAAGGGGCTGTTCCTGTATGAGGCTGAGGAAATTCAGAGGTGAGAAAAACCAACTGGGAAATGCTCAAATGCAGCCACTTTGGAGGTAAAGGGTAACGAGTGATTGCCCTGGTTGGTATCTTCAGGCCAGGTCTATGAGGAGAGGAGAGAGAACCAGGCCGCTGGCTGCTCTTTCACTCCACGGACCAGAGTTGGCAAGTTTCCCTGGCTTCTGAAATTTTCAAACCTTCCTTGGACTTGGTAAGTTTGGGTCTCTTTCCTTATAGTGATCAGCTGTAAAACCTTTAAAAGGAAAAGGTACCACGCAATTGTCTTTAGGAAGATCTTAACAGGGGAGGCAAAATGCTGGTTTGAGGAGAGCTGTGCCTCACTCAGCACCCAGTCAAGGTGCATGAGGAGCCCCAAAGATTGGATGGGTAGTAAATAGGCTGAGGCTCCTACAGTTTATAGGAAGGAAGAAAGGTGGCATCAGGTAATACCAACTGAAAGGCATGTGTGGTTCC